CTCTGTGTCTCTGTGTGAGCCGGTGAGGTCATGGCGTCTCCTATAGAGAAGGGGAAGTGGTAGTAGGCTATAGGAGTGTGAATAGTTGTAGTAGTATAGAGCCCTGCTTCATTCTAAGGCCTGTAGTGTGGTGGCTGTGAGCTCCCTACCGCTCAGGGTTCCTCTCTCTACTGGCTCTACTCTGCTGCTGCTGGCTCTGTTAATGATGGCCTTTGTTAAACCCACAGGCAGCGAGAGCGGCTATTTCTGGGCTTGGCTGTAAACAGGCAGATTCCACATCCCAGATTGGGAATGTTTCTGCCTCTGCCCCTTCTCCTACTGCCTCTGTTGGGCTGGCCCTAGCACCGAGACGTGAAACGGACTGATACAGAGAGAAGAGGAGGGGTGAGGGAGACATCGAGAAACAGAGGAAAGCAGGTGGAAGGCAGTGAAAGTGGAAGCAGAGAGGAATAGAGGGGAGAATATGATGTCTGTGGAGAAGAGTGTATGGTCAGAGAAGAAACAGAGACATGGGGGAGAGAGGGACGAGTCTTGCATGACAAGTTATGTTTTGAGCACCTTGTAACAATACAAGAAAGCATAACATTCAGTTTCAAAAGTTCAAGTAAAGGCTATAGGGGGTGGGTTTCAAGTTGAGCCAAGGGTGGGTTTCAAGTTGAGCCAAGTAGTCTTTGAGCCATAGCATCCTTTTGAAACTGAAGATCTGCTGCCCTCTGCTGTTTAGTGAAGGTACTCACAGACAGGCTGTGGTTATTAGTGTGGCCAGCATTAGGACCTGAAGCTACAAGAGTTAAACTTGGGCAAAAACCTCCCCTTCCCTCTCTACATGCAAACACTAGTCTGTGTCAATCAGAAAGTGTGTTGTGGCTCGCTGGTTTCACATCCCCTTGTGTGTGTTTTAGAATAGTTGAGGTGAACATTGTATGGTTATCTTGGACAGGGTTAGGTAGGTTACTTTCCAGTGGTGGAAAAAGTACCCAATTGTCATACTTGAGTAAAAGTAAAGATACCTTAATAGAAAAAGACTCAAGTAAAAGTGAAAGTCACACAGTAAAATACTACTTGAGTAAAAGTCTCTAAAAGTATTTGGTTTTAAATATACTTAAGTATCAAAAGTAAACGTAATTTCTCACAAAAGTATAAATAATTTCACAGGTCAAACGTTTTCTGTAAGTCTTCACAAGGTTTTCACACACTGTTGCTGGTATTTTGGCCCATTCCTCCATGCAGATCTCATCTAGAGCAGTGATGTTTTGGGGCTGTCGCTGGGCAACACGGACTTTCAACTCCCTCCAAAGATTTTCTATGGGGTTGAGATCTGGAGACTGGCTAGGCCACTCCAGGACCTTGAAATGCTTCTTACGAAGCCACTCCTTCGTTGCCCGGGCGGTGTGTTTGGGATCATTGTCATGCTGAAAGACCCAGCCACGTTTCATCTTCAATGCCCTTGCTGATGGAAGGAGGTTTTCACTCAAAATCTCACGATACATGGCCCCATTCATTCTTTCCTTTACACGGATCAGTCGTCCTGGTCCCTTTGCAGAAAAACAGCCCCAAAGCATGATGTTTCCACCCCTATGCTTCACAGTAGGTATGGTGTTCTTTGGATGCAACTCAGCATTATTTGTCCTCCAAACACGACGAGTTGAGTTTTTACCAAAAAGTTCTATTTTGGTTTCATCTGACCATATGACATTCTCCCAATCCTCTTCTGGATCATCCAAATGCACTCTAGCAAACTTCAGACGGGCCTGGACATGTACTGGCTTAAGCAGGGGGACACGTCTGGCACTGCAGGATTTGAGTCCCTGGCGGAGTAGTGTGTTACTGATGGTAGGCTTTGTTACTTTGGTCCCAGCTCTCTGCAGGTCATTCACTAGGTCCCCCCGTGTGGTTCTGGGATTTATGCTCACCGTTCTTGTGATCATTTTGACCCCACGGGGTGAGATCTTGCGTGGAGCCCCAGATCGAGGGAGATTATCAGTGGTCTTGTATGTCTTCCATTTCCTAATAATTGCTCCCACAGTTGATTTCTTCAAACCAAGCTGCTTACCTATTGCCGATTCAGTCTTCCCAGCCTGGTGCAGGTCTACAATTTTGTTTCTGGTGTCCTTTGACAGCTCTTTGGTCTTGGCCATAGTGGAGTTTGGAGTGTGACTGTTTGAGGTTGTGGACAGGTGTCTTTTATACTGATAACAAGTTCAAACAGGTGCCATTAATACAGGTAATGAGTGGAGGACAGAGGAGCCTCTTAAAGAAGAAGTTACAGGTCTGTGAGAGCCAGAAATCTTGCTTGTTTGTAGGTGACCAAATACTTATTTTCCACCATAATTTGCAAATAAATTCATTAAAAATCCTACAATGTGATTTTCTGGATTTTCTTTTCTCAATTTGTCTGTCATAGTTGACGTGTACCTATGATGAAAATTACAGGCCTCTCTCATCTTTTTAAGTGGGAGAACTTGCACAATTGGTGGCTGACTAAATACTTTTTTCCCCCACTGTATTTAGCAGTCCTATGTCTTGGGGATAGAAGCTGTTCAGGAGCATGTTGGTGTCAGACTTGATGCACCAGTACCGCTTGCAGTGCTCTACTGCCAGGTCACTGACCTCCTCCCTATAGGCTGTCTCGTCGTCACCGGTGATCAGGCTTACCACCGTCATGTCTTCAGCAAACTGGATGATGGTGTTAGAGTCCTGTGTGGCCAAGCAGTCATGGGTGAACAGGAAGTACAGGAGGGGACTAAGCACACACCCCTGTAATAGGATTAGGCTATATCTTTACATTAGAAACCAAAGTCTGTCAGATTTCCAGTCATTTCAATTAATTGAATACCCCTTGGTCTTCAGGAATTGGACTTGGAATGATGGAAATATAGATTAACCTAATTGTTTTACCTGAGCATAACCCAAAAATGAAGGATTTATTAGCCTACTCTGTTTTTTATTATTTGGTTGTCATTGAGGACTGATTGGGCTCATTGCTTCGAGCTGAAAAATAAATGCTGCTCTCATGCTTTGAGCACTGCCAAAAAGTGCTATTTGCATGTGAAAAATGAATGTCATATGCTGCATTTGCTATAGGGCTAATGTTTGCGTTTTTGTTGGGGACACTTTGATATCTCGATAATTTGCAGCTGTTTTAAGTCTATCAAAATTGTGCACGTTTGAGCATGTGTCCGTTAGTCCCATGGATTTTTTTTTTTATCAGCACAAATTAGATTGAGCAATAAAAGCCCCACTTGTGGTCTTCTTAAATTAATCTAGTTTTTGACAGTATGGAGCACAATACCACGGGGGAGTTTAGAAGGGAGGAACTTTTATTCCATAGGCTGGGATCCACACTATGCAGCTGTTGCAAGAGTGAATTTTCATGCACTGGCTGTCCACTAGTCGCAAAAACAATACATGATAGGCATCTTAAACTCCTTAAATTCAACCATTATTGGGTTAAAATACACAGTCATCCACAACAACCACAATCCGTAAGGCACAAATAGCTAGAGCAGCAGTGTGAGTCATATCAATGCGCTATTTATGTAGATATCAATACTAAGTGATATCCATATCGCCCGTATGCTACACCACTGCTGTCGTCCTTACCTCCAAGCCTTTATTCAAGTAGGATGTATAATCTTTGGATGCCGACAGCAGTCGCACCATTGGAAGACATAGCTTGGACTGTAGCCTACCAAAGCCTATTCCTGCTCTTTTCCCGCTATCCATCAAATGTGTCATCATAGTGGTCTCTTACTTGTGGTCAGACTCGCTCCGGCGGAACAAACTTAAATTTGCGCCTTTTTTCAATGCTGATTTCTATGTCTTTGAGAAAACAGAAAGGTGTCATAACATCCTTTCTGAATTTAGAAGTAATCCTATAAGTAATCATCTAGTTTTCCAAAAGTATCTGTAATCTGATTACAATCTTTTTGCTGGTAACGTAACGGATTACAGTTCTTTTTTTTTTTGTAATCAGTTATATGTAACACATTACATTCTATCTGTTACTCCCCAACCCTGATCTTGGATATATTACTTATGGTTGTTTCATGTATTTCTGTCATTCAACCTTCAAATGACTGCTTTCATTTTGAAAATGCATAGCAGCTAACCAGGACATTATCACTGCAAGCAAGACATAGTTTCACACACACCCTTACACATACTTCCCAACCCGCTAGTTGATAAAGCACTGAAACCTAGCGTTATTACATAGTACAAAAGCCTCTCCTGTTTCTATTTGAAGAACTCTTCTCATGGAGGCAGCAGACACAGGTACAGCATAGGGCATTGTTTTAATCTCTCTTTATGCCTTTTTACTTTCCACTTGATTATTTTGTCTATTGTCCATAAGTGTGTGTGGGGACGTGTTTAACTATACTTGTGGGGACTAGAAGTCCCCACAAGTATAGTAAACCAAGAAAAAGTTGACCAACTGGGGACATTTTGTTGGTCCCCACAAGGTCAAATGCTATTTCTAGGGGGTTTAGGTTTAGGTTTTTGGGTTAGGGTTAGGTTTGGGGTTAGGGGTTAGGGAAAATAGGATTTTGAATGGGACTGAATTGTATGTCCCCACAAGGTTAGCTGCACAAGACTGTGTATGTGTGTGTTTACACAATATAGCTGTAATATTGCTCATTTAGAGTTACATTACTGGGGGCCAGTATGAAAATATAAATACAAAATATAATGTATGCACTCTATGCACACACTAACTGTAAGTCGCTCTGGATAAGAGCGTCTGCTAAATGACTAAAATGAAAGTAGTAATGTGTCGTGTAATGGTTCTCAGAGAACCTGAGCTTTCCGTGTGAAAACAGTATCTCTTGTCCTTTATAGTAACCCTGTGGTGGTACCTCATCGCTCTCCTTTCCTTCAAATCCCCTCTCACCCTTGATTCTGCCCTCTAACCTTCCCTCTACCTCCCTTCTTCCTATCCTGTCTCCCACCTCTGCCCTTTCCCTCCTCTCCTCCCTCTATCCTTCTCTTCCCTCTACCCCCCCCCACCCCCACCCCACAGATGAGCCGACGAGCCCCAGCGTTGACCTCCGTGCCCGCCACGTGCCCGCCTCCTCCGTCGTGTCCGGCGGCATGAGCTCAGCACCCGCCATCGTCACCAGCCCCGCCTCCCCCACCTTCACCTTCCCCCTAACCAGGCTCTTCTCACACGACTGCAGTGAGTGCCCTCCTTGAGCCGGACTACCCCGGGCCGAATCCCTGCATGCAGCCATACCAGAACCCACCCACCACCACCTCTCTAGGGTGTCTGGTACCATGCTAGCAGACATGCCACCTCCACATCTATGGAGAGAATGGCTTACTGTACACAGCATGTTCCTCTGTCTCTCTGCATGAGTTGATTGACAATATTTCCATGGCGAGGAGGTAAAATGGCCTCTAGGAAATAGGCCTTGTGTACTTCTTTGTGCCTGGTAAGATGCATGCGCGCCCTGGGGGCTCCCGTGTGGTGCAGCGGTCTAAGGCACTGCATCTCAGTGCTTGAGGCGTCACTACAGACCCACTGGTTCGATTCCAGGCTGTATCACAACCGGCCGTGATTGGGAGTCCCATAGGGCGGCGCACAATTGGCCCAGCGTCGTCCGGGTTTGGCCAGTGTAGGCCGTCGTTGTAAATAAGAATTAGTTAACTGACTGACTTGCCTAGTTAAATAAAGGTTTAAAAAAAAAGCTAATGTAGTCACTCCTCGCTGGACTAACTGCCTAGGCAGATGCATGTGCGTCATTGAAGTGAATGTGGTTACTCTCTACCTTCTGTAGAAAGTGTGTTTTGTACCAATAGGGTCCACATTTCCTCTGTATAGACTGGAGCATGAAGTCCAGTGGTCCTCGTACACCCACCTTTAGCCCAGTCTGTCCAGTCTGACAGACAGACTCCCCTTGCATGACAGTAGTGAGCGAAGTGACCTGAGATTACCTAATGTGACTCCATCCTGCCAGCCCACCTCTACACCCTCCAGCTCACCCCAACCACCTCACCCAACCACCTCACCCAACCACCCTCCACCTCTCTGTCAATTGCTCACCCACGTCTCTTAACCCCACACTCCCTAACATCCTCTGACTAGCATTACATCTACATTCTTCTTTCTTTCTTTCTTTCTTTCTTTCCCTCTCTCTCTCTCCCCCTCGCTCCGTCTCTCACTGAGCAGGCAGTATTAAATCCAGTCGCCGTTCCTCCTATCTTCTAGCCATCACCACGGAGCGCTCCAAGTCATGTGACGAGGGACTCAACACCTTCAGAGGAGAGGAGGGCCGCATCTTCTCGTGAGTACTGGAACACCGGGGGAGACATGGGAATCGATTATGAGGGATTCATCTGAAGCATATGATCAATTAATTTCATAGGAAATCTTGCAGTAGCCATTTTGAACTTATTCCTAACCCTCCATTTTATTCTCCATAGGAGGCTGCCAAAGAGAGTGAAGAGTTTCTTCACAGATGGGGTGAGTTTTTCCCCTGTTTCACAATAACAGTATGCTGTACCCTACACGTAACTACAGTGCAGATTGCAGATGACCTACCATTTCTGGCAGCTTGGAGGGTGTGTCTGAAACCATTTGTTTTCAGTGTGTTTATCCTAAAACCTGTCATGGAGTGGTGTGTAACCTTTGACCCTGTGTGCGTGTGTTAGTCCCTGGACAGTCTGGGGGCAGCGGAGGAAGCGCGCTCCAAACGCCACTCCACCTCAGAGCTGGGCAGCATCAGCTACAGTGACATATGGAGAGAGGGATGGCTTCACTACAAACAGATCCTCACGGAGAAGGGCAAGGTGGGTTAGAGCGAGAGAGAGAGAGAGAGAGAGGGGGAGGAAAAAGAAAGAAAGAACAAGTAGAGGAGTAGGACTTACTGTAGTTCAATTAACCATTTCTTCTCTGTCTCTTTCTCTCACTCTCTCCATTCCGTTCTGTGTTACAGAAGGTGGGCAGCGGCATGCGTCCGTGGAGGCGGGTCTTCTCGGTGTTGCGCTCCCATTCGCTCTTCCTTTACAAGGACAAGCGGGAGGCAGTCCTGCGAGGCGCCACTCTGGGAGGTGATGCCGACGAGGAGCAGCCAATCAGCATCCGGGGCTGCCTGGTGGACATAGCGTACAGCGAGACCAAGCGTAAGCACGCGCTGCGGCTGACCACTCAAGACTTCTGTGAGTACCTGCTGCAGGCCGAGGACAGAGATGACATGCTGGACTGGATCAAGGTCATCAGGGAGAACAGCAAGACCGACAATGAGGTGGGTCAAAGGGCACCACTCTCACTTCTCAACTGACCTTTCCCCTCTCAACTCTGAACCTAGAACCCTCTGACCTCTCAGCTCTCAACTCAACTCTGACCCTAGAACCCTCATATCTTATGTCACACACTGCCTCCTATTTATATATCTCCTGTAACGTTGTACATGTCACCTTTCTTCACTGGTGTTGCTACAGTGTAAGGCTGTATTAATGAGGGAGTGGTCTGTGTGTTTGTCTGTCTCAGGAGCTGGGATTCTCAAGACAGGCTCTAATCAGTAAGAAGCTCAATGACTACAGGAAACAGAGGTGAGGGACACCTACCTGTCACTATGACAGCAGTAGTGTTTGGTACATCCATGTTGCTTGTCCTGGCTGGTAGAGTCAGTGTGTAACAGTCTTCTCTCTGTCTCTCCCTGCCTGCAGTCCAACAGGCAACAAGCCAGACTCCTCTCCCAGGGTGCCCCGTGCCAAGCCTTCCTTCCTGCTGGCCAAGATGGAGAACGCTGCCGGGGCACCGCGCTCACCCAAACCTGAGGGCAAAGGTCAGTGGTAGTCAGAGACAGGAACCAACCAGCAATGGTCATTTCAGATGGATGTTTGTTCTGACTCTGTGTCTGTCTGTCTGACTCACTGTCCCTCTGTCTGTCTGTCCCCAGATGAGAGCAGCCCCCCTAAGTCGCCATGGGGGATCAACATCATGAAGAAGTCCAAGAAGTCAGGGCCCAAGGCTTTTGGAGTGAGGCTAGAAGACTGTCAGCCAGCTGCCAATAACAAGGTCAGCCAGAGCCTCCCTTCCTCATATACTGTAAATGTATCATTTTGGGTGTGTTTATATGCACTGTTAAAGTATTTACTGAAAATGTATACAGTCTGATATACCACGGCTGTCAGCCAATCAGCATTCAGGGCTCGAACCACCCAGTTTATAATGTGGTGTATATGTGTGTTGGTAAGGTATATGTGTCCACTCCTGTCCGACCCTCCCCTGTCTGTCTGTCCTCCCAGTTCATCCCTATGATTGTGGAGATCTGCTGTGGGCTGGTGGAGGAGATGGGTCTGGAGTACACAGGCATCTACAGGGTCCCAGGGAACAACGCAGTGGTGTCCAGCCTTCAGGACCAGCTCAACAAGGGGTCGGACATCAACCCTGCAGAGGAGGTGAGCAGAGCAGGATCACATTCGTACCCACGGGCACACACACACTCTAACGTACAGTAAGCAGTAAGCATAGTACACCATGGCTGGATTAGCTGGACACAGTATATCTAGTCATCTGTGGGATGGTGTTAAACAGCTTCACTTGAAATCAGTGGGGTATACAAGTGTTCAACAACGGGAAAGGATAATATGACCATCAACTATTCTATCCAACCATTTCTCTAAAGGTCCTTTTAGTATTGCCTTTGACCTCTCTCTCCTGTTTTTACCTCTTCACAGAAATGGCAGGACCTGAACGTGATCAGCAGCTTGCTCAAGTCTTTCTTCAGGAAACTTCCAGAGCCCCTCTTCACTGATGGTGAGTCCCATTTTGTTAGATGAACCGTCAGTAAAGACATGAATAAACTCACATTCATCCTGCTTTTTACAGTTACAGTTGAATGTTAGTTTTTATTTAAATGTAACTATTCATATTACTCTTATCCTCACAGATAAGTACAATGACTTCATCGACGCTAACCGGATGGAGAATGCCGGGGACCGGCTAAAGACCATGAAAAAACTGGTATGTGAACGTTGTCTGAGCAGGTTTTTCTATTTGCATATCCGGTTTAGTCTTTCCCTGGAAGGATGGATGATATGTTCAAGGGCTAACAGATTACACAGGATACTCAGAAGTGTTGACATATTTCTCCTTATCTCTCTCTCTCTCTGTTAGATTCGTGACTTACCGGACCATTACTACCACACTCTCAAGTTCCTGGTTGGCCATCTGAAGACGGTAGCTGACCACTGTGAGAAAAACAAGGTCTGAATACTGTTTTCATAGTGTTTGAATGTAAATGTGTTATTATAGGTTGCATCCTAAATGGCACCCTGTTCCCTATGTAGTGCCCTACTTTTGTCCCGGATCCAATGGCACTTTATTCCCTATATAAAGTGCCCTACTTTTTACAGTGTTACAGTTCAGATGTGTTAACATGTGGTCGTCATTGTAACAGATTATTAAGGAAGACTGATATAATGAGATGTATTGTTTCTGTGTGTGTAGATGGAACCTCGTAACTTGGCCCTGGTGTTCGGGCCCACGCTGGTGCGGACGTCTGAAGACAACATGACAGATATGGTGACTCACATGCCTGACCGCTACAAGATAGTAGAGACGCTCATCCAACATGTGAGTGACCCTCTCCTCCCACACACCACCCAATAACCAATGACAAACCTGTTTACTGGCTTCATGTTAACTCTCCTCCAATGAGCTGTCACTACCCTGTAAGAATAGTCCCGTGTGGCTCAATTTGTAGAGAATGGCGCTTGCAACGTCAGGGTTGTGGGTTCGATTCCCACGGGGGACCAGTACAAAAATGTATGCAGTCGCTCTGGATAAGAGTGTCTGCTAAATGACTAAAATGTACATTTTTTGTCATTTCTCATCTCTGTTTCCTCCCACAGTATCTCTGGTTTTTCAGTGAGGACCTGGACAAGGATGAAAAGGTACAGTAAGTCTTACTGTGGAAACAGCTGTTCAGTTCACACAGTCATGTTGGAGCTGACAGTGTAGTCTGCTACAGTAAACAGCCCAAATAGAATCCTGGGATGTGATATGATACAGTATATCTTACCTATGTGTCATTGGCTGTGTCTCATATTGCACCCTATTCCCTTCGTAGTGCACTACTTTTTACCAGAGCCTTATGGGCCGTGAAAAAATAGTGCATTATATAGAGAATAGTGTGCCATTTGGGACAAAGTCACAGACTCTTGTGCAGGACTTAAATCCAGTGTTCATGTTTTGTTTGACTCGATGCCTTTCTCCCCTTCAGACTCCAGTAGACACGAAGGACCTGGTGCCTGCCCCCAACATCGACCACTTGCTCTCCAACATCGGCAGGACCGCTCTGCTAGGGGAGGCCTCAGGTGAGGGTCCGCCCACCACTGCCCAAATGCACCAATCACAACCTGCACTGAGCTACTGACAGCCTGTGCAGACCAATCACGGTTCATACTGTGGCCGAACTGGCCAATCAGTGACTGTCAATTATTATTGACGGCCACACAGTTGAACCAAATCCATACAATCAAGAAATAGGCATGACATACATTTGAAATGATTTGCACTTGCCGAGTTTCTCCCTTTCCTGATTTGATCAATCACTAGACTGTGCTTCTTTCCTCTCACCTGATTTTATTTTCTTCTTTGTTACTCATCTGTCACTTTCTCTTCTACATCGCTGCCTCCCTCTCTTAGCTGAGCCTGTGGAGCAGCCACTGCGGTAGGATGGGATTTCCCCTGCCAATTCCTGTGTGTGTGTGTGTGTGTGTTTGAGAAATAGGGAGTTGTGGTGTGATGGTGTTTGTAAGTAAAAGGTGGGTGGGTGTGTTTGGTATGTGTCACCATCTTCAGAGGAAGTTGCTCTCTGCTCCCTCAGTGTCAGCTTGACTAAGGCAGGAGGTGTGTGTGAGGATGGCCCTGCATTGTCACCCAGTCTGACTAATGGATTAATGACTTCGTGTCCTCTGTCACTGAGAGAGAAAGCCCCTCTACAGTGGTCTGTCCATCTGTCTGTCCTGTCTACCTCACCTGCTCCACTCATTCTCTATAGGCCCTCTCATGTGTTACTCTGGGGTTTTAGTGTGTGTGTGTGTGTGTGTGTGTGTGTGTGTGTGTGTGTGTGTGTGTGTGTGTGTGTGTGTGTGTGTGTGTGTGTGTGTGTGTGTGTGTGTGTGTGTGTGTGTGTGTGTGTGTGTGTGTGTGTGTGTGTGTGTGTGTGTGCGTGGTTAACTATACTTGTGGGGGCCAGAAGTCCCCACAATAATAGTAAACAAACAAAGATTTGACCAACTGGGGACATTTTGTTTGTCCCACAAGGTCAAATTATATTTCTAGGGGGTTTAGGGTTAAGGTTAGAATTAGGTTTAGGGTTAGGAGCTAGGATTAGTTTTAGGGTTAGGAGCTAGGGTTCAGGATAAGGTTAGTGTTAAGGTAAGGGTTGGGTTTAGGGTTAGGGGCTAGGGAAAATAGGATTTTGAATGGCACTGAATTGTGTGTCCCCACAAGGTTAGTTATACAAGTGTGTGTGTGTGAGCGTGTTTGTGTGTGTGTGTGTGTGTGTGTGAGTGTGCGTGTGTGTGAGCGTGTGTGTGTGTGTGTGTGTGAGCGTGTGTGTGTGTGTGTGCGTGAGCGTGCGTGTGTGTGTGAGCGTGTGTGTGTGTATGTGTGTGAGCGTGTGTGTGAGAGCTAGTGTGAGTGTGAGTGTGAGCGTGTGTGCGAGATGGTGTGACCAAACTCTTTACTCAACCTTGATTTCTGCCTTCCCTCCTCCCGATGCTTCCTTCACCAGTTGATGTCATCAGTGTTTGCCGTGATGTCATCAGTGTGTGCTGTGATTCCTTAAAGCTGTCGTTTTTCCCCACCCTCGCCCCTCTCTCCAACGACCCTGGTCACATGCCATTCAGTTTGATCAACTCCATGACAATCAGTGGTTTGTGATGACATGTTGTTCTGTGCTGTGTGTTAATGGTGTGTGACCAGTGTCTGTATGATTCTGTTCCCCAGGGGAGGGTGGAAGGTAGAGGGTGGGCACAGAGGATGCACAACTCTCTACTAATTGGATTGTCGTTACATTAGAGCAGTCATATTTCCTGTGTTATAACAGTGTTGAAATTGTGTGTTTAAAAGCTCTAGCTAGCTAGAGAACAGAAAGGTTGATTGTTTTCTGAGCAGCAGCTCTGTGCCCCCATCTCTGCCATTCACGCTCCTCCTCCCCTCCCATGTAACACAGACCAGCTTTACAGTGTACCTTCTCCTCTGACCCTCTCTCTTTTTCCTCTCTCTTAGACTCAACCAACAGTGACTCAGCTAAATCTAAGGTAAGGCCTCAGATAGCCAACTATGCTGTTTTACACTAGTTATTGAACTTGTTATTGAACTTCTGGCCACTCATATCACACAGATAGCAGAAACTGAGCACAGTTTCACAGACACAAAACAATCTTCTTCCACTACCACAAAAATACTTTCAAAGAGCTGAAGCAAGTCACACAATGTTTCTTCACACCATCTAGTTATGGTTGAGGTTGTGTAAATCATCTGACCTTTGACCTATGTGACTTTGTTTTGCCTCAGGGGTCGTGGGGGTCAAAGCGAGACCTCACTGCCAAGGACTTCCTGACACTGTCCATCATGTCCGCTGTCACCGGATGCAAGCGCAGGAATCGCCACAACGGCCGCCTGGTGGGCAGCAGCACGGACGACGACTCGGAGCACGAGCCAATCAAAGCCAGCCACCTGGGCGCGGAGGAGGCGGGGCTGGTGGTGGGAGGAGCAGACACCGCCCCACGAGCAGAGGGAGAGGAAGATGAGGAGGAGGAAGAAGAGGAGTCTGTAGTAGAGAGAGTGAGAGTGCAGGAGGAGGTGGAGGTAGAGGAGGTGGTAGTTCCCAGCATGCCGTGCGGTGGTGAGAAAGAAAAAGCAGGGCAGACGGTGATGCTGCTCCCTGAGGAAGAGGCGGTGACGGCGGAGGTGAAGGGCAGGGCGTGGCGGGGGCCAGAGGACGCTCGCTCTATCGTCTCCGGTTACTCCACCCTCTCCACACTGGGGCGGAGCCTGGCGTCTGAGGGCCGGTGCGATGAAGCTGACGACGAACGCAACGAGCTGGTGAGCGAGACGGACAATGAAAGTGGATTCGCCTCACGCTCCCTTACCCAGGAGAGACCTGAGAAACACCCCCTCTGCATCCACTTCACCCACCCTCACACCCCACTATCCCCCACACAGCCCCCCACAGCAGCACAACGAAGCTTCCTGTACACACACTACAAACCCCCCGCTGTCTCCCCCACTCCCCAGCACACCACCCCCACCCCCTCCACACACACTCAGGACCCTGGGGAGAGGAGCGAGGGTGGGGCACGATCCACCACCCCTTCCTCCTCCTCCTTCTCGTCCTCCTCCACCACCCACAGACTGCACCCCCGGCCCTCGTTCAACTCCCACAAGCTGATCCAGTGTGACACGCTGGCCAGGAAGAAGCTAAAGGACAGAGGGAAGACCAAGGCTTGTTCTCTGGACCTGCTGGACCTCCCTGGGCCTTCAGGAGAGGAGGAGGGAGCTGGGGCACCAGGGGCCCAGAGGGACCGATCCAGGACCAACCCTTCCTCAGGGAGCAGCCAGGAGAGCCTGCGTCCCCCCCAGCCCAAAGCAGCCCTGCCGCCTAGCGAGGCTGCCTCCTTCACCCCCAGCGGGACAGGGCAGGGTCAGGGGCTCGGGTCTCTGGCTGACCAGGTGCGGGCGCGCCTGCTGGGCTCGGCTGATGACCTGCGTATCGTGGGGCTGAGGAAGCCACTCTCCCCAGAGACAAGGAGGAAGAGACGGGCCTGGAGAAGACACACTGTGGTGGTCTCACCTACCGAGACGGGCGACAAGAGGCCTGCGCTAGCCACCAACGAGTTCCCCATGTCCCTCGCCACTTCCAACCAGGACAAACCACAGGGGTCACCCCTCGACCCCCAGGAGCTTGACCCAGGACATCCTCTTCCCCTGGGCCAGAATCCCCCCGTCACACGCCGAACACCAGCCTCCAGGTTCCATCAGTATCTGTAACTATGGACAGAGACTGATAGGCCTGTAAGTTACAAGGCCCCCGGGCCTCCCTCTCAAAGTCTCCCTCCCCTGAGCTGCTGATCCAGGGCTGCTTTCTGAGGGTCAGATAGTGCTGACCCCAGGTCAGTTGCATGATGGCAGTGGGTAGTGGACAGCAGAGCCACAGACAGACACAAGGGGTCTTGTGACAGGTCTGAGAACAGTTTCTGGCCTCCAGTCTACTCACGCTCCCTTTTCATTTGAATCAGCTCTGTTTGCATGGCAAGGGGCATTCCAGTATTTGCCAAAGCTTTTTTTGTTGTGTGTTTTAAATAAAAATAAAATAATGCTAATCTGCAATGGGACAGCAGAGAAACAGACAGACAGACCTCATCACAGTCAATGTTAAAGCCAAGAACTCTCCCTCATGCAGGCAGCAGACAGACAGTGTGTTACTGAATACTAGGATCCTTCCTGTCCTCTCTGTTGCTTCCTGTCTGACACCGGAAGTGGGTTGTCCTCTCCCAGTGCACAGGGAAAAGCATGCCAAACCTTCCCAGGGTTCCTCACAGAGTGACACTTTCAACAGGGCTGTGGGCTCTCTCTCTGTCTTTCTCACACACACACACACACACACACACACACACACACACTTAGCTGAGAGATCAGCACGTACACTATAAGAAGAGTACAGGCAGTATTGGAATGTGAGTTTTGAGAGGATAACTCTGTCTAACTTTTGGCCCCAGCACTGACTTCTATATCACTGTCTTCGTTAATATTCTGTTACTATGACAACCACAGAACAACTGGCTCTAACACTCATCTAGTTGCCAACACACAGAAATAACATAACTCACACACACACACACACACACACTGCTCACACACATTAGTAGTGGTCTGTAACCAAGCTGCCTGTCTCTCTTTAATGTTTGTCTGTCTGTACATATGTGTGTTTGCCTGACAATACCTGTGAGTATGTTTGAGTGTGCAGGTATTTGTGTGTTGAACTATTTTGTAACATTTGTACAAAGCCTTGTTAAGTTAACCTTGTAAATATATATATTACATTATCATTATTTGTTGTTTTTTTTGTTTGTTTTTTAAGGTTTACATAAGTGCACATAGGTGCACCATCATTTCCTTCAAGATGTTACTTGAAATGTTTCCCTTAATATATTATTTTTTGTTTTATATACAGTATATATTATATATATTTTTTGTATGAAAAGAATAAGTACTTTTATTGTGATTTGACTTCTCTGGTGTACCTGTTTTTAAAACAATCAAAAAAGAAACAACCTAAACCTGACTAAAAGCCTGTTCCTTGTTTCCTCATAGATGGCCTTTCTCTGTGACTCACAGTACTATGCATAAATACTTTCTCTCATTTCGCAAACATAGAATAACTAACACATCCAACATTAACATTCTCCAGTCAATATCCTTAGTTCTGGCAGTTGAAATGCCTATCCGTTTCATGGCTGGATAGCATCCATTTCCGCATTTGAAGAAAGCAATGTACACTCCCCTGGCTGACACTACTATCTACCTTGTGCTGACAATGCTTATCTTATTTTGCAGCAAACAGGGCTTTATCTACCATAATCTAATTTAAATCAAAATAATGTTTGTATGCATCTCAGCTCTCGTATCAAAGAACGATCACATACTGTCCTTGCAACAACTCTATCATAACTGTCTTTTCAATTGGATTAAGTATTAGTTGGTAATAATTTGCTTGACCAAACCTGCCTATGTGTACCAGAGGAAACATTTGCTTTCATTTTATGGGTGACAGAGAAAGCGCAAAATATTGACAACATGCCCTGTTAAACGTCAAGGATTATAAATGCAACCTGCATGTATACACAAAGTTACATTTTGTAAGGTCTGTCAATTACATTTTCTTTGTTATTTATCAGGAATATTTCGAGTATTAAACCATCTGCACATGGTTTTTCATGTCACATATTTCATTTCCATAAGGTTAGACTCACTCAAGTGGATAACCACTGTGAGCAGGGGTGCTTCAGAATTCCAGGACACAAATGACTGATTGCAGAAATGTGGTTACCATAAGTTGCCATTTTGGGGTCTGCTGTGTTTCTAGACTTGCATACCATTCTCTTGGCCATGGTCCAAGATGAGTTTCCATTTCCCAAATACTCTTTATTAACTATCCCTCGACCAATGTCATATGGGACTTATTCTTTGGTTTTCCCCTTTGCTTGACCGGATTTTTGTCATGATTAAATGTAATTGACTTTTTTGTTGTTGTCTTGTCTTACCTCAAGAGTTGCCTTACAAGTGCCTGATTTCTGGAGTGTTTTTGTTCTGCAGTGCCATGGTCAGTCCTCACCTCCCCATTAACCCTCATTATTCCAGATTCTCAAAGCCAAAAACCTCAACCTTCACATCTAGTTATAAACCAGACTGAATCCAGTATCTTCTCGTTGCTGCGCTTACATCTTAGCCGCTGACCCAAGGACGTGTATCATTCATACGAGCAGCCTCTCTGCGAGGCCATTAAAAGCACACTGTGTCTGGCCAAGGACTTGTCTATGCTGTCTGTTTGCATCTAACAAGCACTTACAAACAGCTGAATACCTGATGCTGCAAGGAAGAGGGAAAGTATAGTGCCCTCACCTGCTTTTCTCCCACACTAAGGTTATTTCATGTGGACAGTGTTTTGTATGGTACGCATAACAAGCCCTAATCAAGGGTAACCAATACCTAGAACATGGGAATATGGTACCAACTCATTTGCATTCGATTTCATTTGATGAACTAACTGTATAAATTCAAACTGTCAGTCAATAGGAGACATACAGCTGAACCAAACTGCTCATACCTTCATCGAAAAGATAAATACATGAATTGTAGAATATTCTGACAACACTCAATGTGTGTTTAGCTGTCTGTTTCTTGAAATGTGATATACCTTATGTTTGTTATTATGTCTGTTAATATTTTGTACATATTGTCTTGATATGTAACATATTGTATTGTGTAAAGTACATTTTGAATTGCTTTGAGTAAACGATCTTATAAGAAAATGGCTTGACTAAAGGTTATCAACCTGGAACCATTTCATTAGATGTCTTTTTGCGTCAAAGCAAGGTTTTATGATGTAAATAAACAGAATTACGTTTATAAAATATATTTTTTGCAGTTGCTTGGAAGTTTTGTGAATGTTTAATGTCAATAGTATTCTGTGATCATTGCTGGCATGCGTCATTCCAGGCAACAGTTTCAGATATTTCATTGAAATGGGGAGGGATGTCATTCCACATGAACAAAATTAATTCACAAACCAAAAAAGTGGAACCAGATTTGTGACACCACTGATTGGCATCCACCCAATGCATCCTGCACCACAATAAAAAATACAGTACATTTTCAAAAAAAGTATCCCTCTAGCGGAGCACATCACGGATGAATCTTGGAACTACATTACCCATAATTATTCTGCTGTAGAGCACTCACGGTCTTGCGCAACACTTCCTGCATCCAGAGAGGACCTGACAACTCGAAATCGTTGCAAATTATATTAGTACATTCAATTAAGATTCCTGAAGTCTTCTATACATTTGTTTCAGTGTATTGTATGTCGGTAAACCTCGCTTGATTGGGGAAATGTAAGTGCGTAAATCTGCCTAAAACCTAGCTAGCTAACAAGTCCTGCTAAAAACAAGGAACTCGTTAGCTTGCTAGCTGGCCTAGCTTGGTAAATAAATGCCTATTTTGACCAGCCATATAGCTAGTTACCTAACCTGCGTTTTAAACAGGGACGTTAAGAATTAGCTAGCAATCTAAGCACCAACAGCTCTAGCTGGGTAAGCAATTTAATGTGCTCTGCCCACAGCCCACTTTGAACCACAGCTATATTTGTCAAATGCATACGGTTGCAAACTAAGCATGAAAAGGAAATAAACGTCCTAATCCTTATTATCTTGTAGCCATCACTGAAATCAAAATTCTTAGCAGCAGCCAAATGGCTGCCAGTATGAGCTCGAGACATTAGGAACAAGACAGAACGTCGAAAGAGGAGCTCAGGAAAATCCATGGATTCCAAGTAGGCCACGAGAAACGCTTGAGTGAAATAATTTCTTAATCATAGAACAATTTATCACTGCAATCTTGGCATTTAATCATAGTTTAAACATACATGAAAATGTATCATTTTTGAATAAATATATTGACACAGTAGTTTATTTGCAACTTTGTGTCAATGTTCTTGACAACATTTGATATCTCAGTCTGGAACCAGGCTAAATGGGGCATCGTTACTTATCTTTCATTCTTAGCTTTCCTCTCTTTAAAGGAATAGTTCACCCAAATGACATATTGGTTTCCTTACCCTGTAAGTCTGTGGCAAGGTATGACAGCAATCCATGCATTGGTTTGTTTTACATGGCCACTGTTTCATATGTAAGTAACTTAATTGAGCAACACTCAATGTTGGATACTTTAGGATGATTTGGACCTGAAGAACAAAAAATGCTAATATCATTGACTTGCATTGGATTTGTGCCACAAATGCTAAAAAGTTAGTTCGATAACAGTGGCCAGGTAAACAAACAAAGCATGGATTTCTGTCATACCTTGTCCATAAACTTCTTACAGGGTAGGGAAACCAATGTCATTTTGTAATTTGGGTGAACTATCCCTTTAAGATAGCCACGACTCCTCTTTTCACACTATTTAGCCATATACTAACCCTATAAGAACAGTATGAAGGGTAGGCTTAACATTCACATTGAATTCAATCTCATTTTATGAGTAATTGCAAAATATGACATTAATGAAAAAGTGACAGAGTTCTCCCCTGACATTCATTGATCACCCTTGGCCCAATAAATTTCATACCCCATATTATACCATGGAAGTAGGGCAATGCAACTCCAATAGGAACCTTGCCTTGTTTAGAAATACTATTTTAGCAAGTTGGAGTCATCTGCTCGATGAGCTTTAGCCTACTACATTAGGTCCATTTCACATACCACTGAGACAGGTCAAGAGGTGAGCTTTGGAGTACAAAATAGCTTTTGCAATTTGTGAGACCTCACAAAATCATCAGCTACAGCTAGAGCCATATATCCAGGGTTGGGTAGGTTACTTTCTAAATGTAATCCGTTCCTAGTTACCTGTCCAACATAATAACGTAACTTTCGGATTACCCAAACTCAGTAACTTAATCTGATTACTTTCCCCTCAATTAGAATAAGACTAAAATGATCTATCGAATGCATTTGGTTTGATCATCATAGTGGTCTCTGACTTTTTTCAATGCTGAATTTTTAATGTCATTCACAAACATCCTTTATTTAAAAGTAAATCAAGAAGTAGACATCTACATTTTCAAAAGTATCTGTCCTCTGATTACAGTTCGTTTTTTGTAATCAGATTATATGTAATCAGTTACTCCCCTACCCTGCATATATCTAAATATATGACTGTGTACAGGCTACTGTAGATTCTAGCCAGTTTTTGTTTAACAAGGGTTGCATTATGCAACCTGCATATATGATTTCTATAGTGTCTATCGGTCATGAGTGAAGCAGTCACAACTTACCTGATTTGGTAGTGGCTCATCTAAGAGTAGAGTAGGATAGTAAGGGCACATCTGAATGAATCTGAAAAACTAGGCTATTGAGCAGTGGTGTAAAGTACTAAGTAAAAATACTTCCAAGTACTACTTAAGTAGTTATTTTGGGTATCTTTACTTTACTATTTATATTTTTGCCAACTTTTACTTCACGACATTCCTAAAGAAAATAATGTACTTTTTACTCCATACATTTTCCCTGACACCCAAAAGTGCTTAGTAGGACAGGAAAATGGTCCAATTCACACACTTATCAAGAGAACATCCCTGGTCATCCCTACTGCCTCTGATCTGGCGGACTCACTAAACACAAATGCTTTGTTTGTAAATTATGTCTGAGTGTTGGAATGTGCCCCTGGCTATCCGTCAATAAAAATAAAAAATACAATTGTGCCGTCTGGTTTGCTTAATATAAAGGAATTTGAAATGGTTTATACTTTTACTTTTGATACTTAAGTACATTTTAGCAATTCCATTTACTTTTGATACTTAAGTATATTTAAAACCAAATACTTTTAGACTTTTACTCAAGTAGTATTTTACTGGGTCACTTTCTATTAAAGGTATCTTTTTACTTTTACTCAAGTATGAAAATTGAGTACTTTTCCCACTGCTGCTATTGAGCATATTCCATCACTCCATGTCTGCCTAAATAGTGAAAAGAAAATGATCTAAGTCGATAGCTGTAAAATGGCTTGCAGATAACAGCCAAATACTTTAATGTATTGATATCAGGCAAAATCTTTATTTACCCACTATGAAAAAAACAAAATAATGTTTGTGTATATGTTAATTTGCACATTTAATTGTGGGAAAGTTATTTGAAATTCTCGAAATAATCTTTTTGACAAATGTTAAATTTGGACAAACACTTCCTGCTGATTTAACAAATTGTGGGATAGTGTATTTTAATGCATGCATACCAGGGAAACAAAAACATAACGTATTTCCAAATACATTCTCTTTATAAAAAAGAAAATAACTATTTTAAATATATACATTACTTAATGAAAAAGTTTAAACAGGTGCCTTACAGTCCAAATAGAAAAGAAAGATCAAGTATTGCAATGCAATTTACGGACTGTCAATGAAACTTCCAGAGTTAACAGATTTCATAAAACTGTCCCCTCATTTCCATATTTGACCTGGTTCTATCAATTTCTAGTCACCTAATGTGACAATCTGCTCCCGCTCCTTGCTCTGCTGGTTATGCGGACGTTGCTCACTGTTCTGCGCCCTCAGTCTCTCCAATTCACCCTCTAATTCTCTGATCCGCGCCGAATCCGACTGGGGCACCTGGCTATCATCTGTGATGTCCGGGTTGGCTGCGCGTCGCAACCGGGTGTTCTCTTCCTCCAGACGGGACATGCACTTCTCCAGCTCCAGGTATTCTTGAACCAGCTCTTGCTTGGACATGTTTTGAAGACTCTCGATGTGGTATTTCTCGTAGGTCTCGGAAAAGTCTCTCTGAAGAAACTCCCCACCTGCGTTTCCAGGCCTCCCGATGCCGTCGCTGCCACCACCGCTGCCATAGTCCTCCTCATCCTCGACATCGAATAGCTCGTCCTCACTTGCGGTGTCCTCTGGGCGAGCACCAGTCCCCAACAGACGCCGGGGCCCACTTTCGGTATTCAGATCCGGTTCCTCTCGGTCGTGTTCATCCATAAGGAACTGCGTTGTATTGTAGGGGGCAACGGGCAACCCCTTCGCGAACATCTCTGCTCTCACTCGGGACGCTCGTTCTGTCTCTCGCTCGTCAAGCTTTTTCTTTTCTTCCCAAGACAGTTTAAAATAGGGCTTCCATTGACGCTTCTTTTTGGATGGTCGACGCCTGTGTTTCTTCTTGCCCTGACGCGCATCTGCAGCTGCCCCGGCGCCCGGAGAGCCACAGCCGCTTCTCTTCCCACACTCGCCTTGCACTTGACTCAAGGTCTCCTCGTGCGGTCCATCTCCACTATTTCCGTGGGCTACGAGGCCAGCCTCTCCGGCTGCATCTGCTCCGGGTTCCTGGCAAGGCTGTGTTGCTGCTGGGCACTTAGGAAGTGCATTTCCGGCAACGAACCTAGGGCACACCTCCCTCTGTCCGCCTTGCATTTGCCACAACTTGTCTGAAGGGATAATCCCGCCGTCGCTCTCTGCTTGCTGCTGTTTATCTCCATATCGCCCCCTACCGTCAGTCTCCAGTCCACGGCTCTTATTGGTTTGGGGATGCTCCACAACTCTTCCTCTCCCACCTGATGGGGTATCTGAAGTTTTCAGGTGATGGGTCTTCTCAATGCTCGGTTCTGTCATCCTGGTGTATGCGGGTGGGCTGTTCGCCTTACCACATGTCAACCGTTGTCTCTGTGCGAATTAAGCTAAATGTTAATTAAAATATATTTTTCTAACTTTTGTTAAGTATACTGTTTCTATGTCTTAATATGAGCAACATTTACTTGACAATAAATGTTTAGCTAAATTTCGAAACGTTCACTATCGCTACTCTTAAAAACAAAGTTATGAATGGTAACACTTGTTACTTGTCGAATAATTCGTCAGAGCTACTGTAGCTAGCTAGCGAACTAACATTAACTATTTCGGTGCCCTTAGCACTCCCAGTCCCTTCTCAAGTTCGTATTTCATCTCCACAACAGTGACTGTCCAGTATGCTACTACAGAAGGAGTTCGCGGTTTTATATCAACTCTACCACTGCCAGTGCGCATGCTGCTTTTCTTGACTCACTTGTTTTGTGGGATCTGTAGTTCCAATGTAGGTAAATTACTAGCGAGACCGTCCATGATCAACTACCTGACCCACAATTCTAGGGCATCTATTGAAAGTTTAAGCCAATCAGATTTTGGGACATAGGACCACCCTCTCATTGCTGCTATTGGACAAAATGGCATATTCACTGTTGCTAAGCTTAAACCATACTTTTATTGGTTATCCCGAGAGTCAATCAAGTGCACATTGGTCCCATGAGGAAAGCGGTCCGGGGTATTCTTTCAGACTCTACCATGTATAAAAAGAGGGAGGAATTAGTGAACGTTTTGAAGAGTTTGTGAATTGATCGTCATTAATCGACATCCCACTCATATTGTATACTAGTAGTAAATTATGACATATGAGTATGTCGTAGCTTTTATCTATTTCGGATTGTTTTGCTCAGTATCACTCCCACAATCATTGAGACAATCCTTTCTTTGTAACGATAATGAAACCGTCATCCTGAACAAACTAGTCCTTTTTTACGGACCGTGTAGAAAAACGATTAACTATCGGCTACGCACTATGTTCATTTTGTTATTGCTTTAACAATTACACAATTATGTTATGTGGTTTCAAATAGTTTAAGGTTTTTCTAGATTTGTGAAAAATTATTTTCTCTGGTGCGGAGCGATATTTCCCTCGCCTCCCACTAATGCGCAAGGATAAGAGTGTAGAACGACGCGTAAAGAAAATACATTTTATTTAGCTAGCTAGCCAGTAGCAACACACACTCAATTGAACGGAACAACAAACGTTGGTGAAATGTTAAAAATAACACAATTGTCCACTTTTGAGAGTTAACCTTAAGCTTATTGTCGACGGTTAGTTACCAGTTGATTCAACGTGCCTCTCTTTGACCCAGTTTCTATATTAAAAACTCCTTAAAGGCTTGCCGATTGAGCTGGCTAGTTACTAGCATTGCTAGCTAATGTGCAAGCTAGCGTCTCATATCATGCATGTGCAGTGAAATATACAACTTTAGATCCAAATATTGTATGGTCTTGGCAAATGCCTTGATAATCGTTGTATAAATTAGCATATTATAACATACGCTTCTCATTGCAAGCTGGTAACCTGGAAATCATAAATTAGCATGTGAGCTAGCTCGACCAGTAGCTAGTTACCAGGACCAGTTAACGAATCTTGCCAAATAATAATACCTAGCTAGCTAGCCAATGCCCTATTTGCATGGATGTTACCATAACCAGGTTCTAACTAAGCAAACATGCTGCACTAAAGTGGGAGTATCGGTGGAAACATAGTATTGTAATATAGCTAGCTAGCTAACAACATTCAAAACATGCAATCAAACTCAATGTTGAGCGTACGCTGATTAGCTAGCTAGTTAGTAGCATGCAGTTACAAGCTAGGATAGCTGGTGGTTAGGTCTCTTTACTGTGGTTGAAATTGCTAGTCTGTTAAGTTACCTAATTATATCTCTGCATTAATGTAAGCAGCATAGATAACTTCAAACTGTCATAATTTAGTAATTACCTCTTCAAACACAGCATATTTTTGCTTTACAAATACACAGTTTAATGCATTATTTGCACATCTCACCGAAAGTATGCACACAAGACAACAGAAATGACAGTGTCTGTATATTTTGACTGATATGCAATGTCCTTATCCTCTGCAGGCAAGAGATTCCTCCCACATGGAGAGGGCACATCTCAGTGGCATTTCACATGGTGCCTACTTGGTGTGTGATTGCTGCTGTAGGCTATATGCATGTAGGCCTACTTTTCAGTGAGTAGGCATCCCCCCCCCCCCTCATACCATAGACCTTTCTCTCAATCACGTTCACTCTTATCCTGATTTTATCCTAAATTGTCATCTTCAATCATTCCCCCTCTCACACCCCCTTGCTCTCTCTTACAGTCTTTTGTCCTCTCTTTCATCTATTATTTTTGCTCTGTTGCTTTCTCTTACTAGGCATCTCTTCCTCCTGTCCTCTTTTTTTCTTGGTCCTTTCATCATCATTTTTCTTGGAGCAGTTGATGCAAGAGTAGGCTATGCCCGAATGAGGAGGAACTTTCTCTATGAGGTGCTATTCCTGTAATGTGTTCTCAGTCAACCTACCTGGTTAAATAAGGGTTAATAGTCTAACTAGTTAGGTGTCAGGTGCTTGCTAGCTATAAGTCTCAGAATTAAAGAGACTAATATACATTAAATAAGCCATTGTAAGTCGCGTTAAATACATTTCTACATTTGTTAGCAAGCTCACAAATACAAAAATGTACCACACACACTCAAAGTGGGCTGACCAGATGTTCTTCAGTCCAAGCAAACTTTTGGCAATTGACAGATACCATCCAAACCTGTGTATCTATTGGCTGCCATATTACCAATTGTTTACTGAATAGGGAGTGATTGCTGGGGGGACCAGGAGGGAGGGTAGGGTTTGTCAAATGGGTGAGTGGGTGTTTACAGAGCCAGTGGTGTTCAGTGGAAGCTCTAGATGCCTGGGCAGGAGTACAGCAGCTCCTGGATCAGAGCCTCTGAGAGGATTATTGGACATGAGTTAATCTCTCACCCTATGTATACTGCAACACGGCTGGGTACAATTGAGAAAGGGTCAAAAGATCTATTCTATATCCATTTGGGATTTTTCCCATAACATTATATCAGAGCAATATACCGTATTTAGATAAATATATAGATCTGCATTATATTGTTCTATTCTTTGTCTCTGTTTTGATATTACACATCAAAGCTTACAGAGTCTGAATGATTGTTCTAAAATGGAGGCCTTTGGATCATGTGTCATTAGTTATTAGGAGACCCAGTGCCGTTCTGTGTGAGAGAGAGAGAGAGAGAGAGAGAGAGAAGGAGCTTGCATATATACTGTAGGAATAGGTCTGTAGATGGCCTGTGAAACATGCCTCTCTCCCCTAGGCCTGGAACCTACAGCTGAGCTTGCTCCTTCTCCTAATTATCCTCTTTATACCCTTATCGAAACCTAATTAAGTCCCAACCCCACGGGTTTGCCACTGCAGCATCGCAGACCAAGACCTATTAATCTAATCCACAGTTAGTATTTCCCCCCGGCTTACTTACAATGACATACAGCACCTATTAAGTGGAGTCCCCTTCAAAAGCATTTCACTTTGCACAAATTGACGTTGTATGTTAAACATATATGGATGTAGAAGAAGTAATAAATCATAACTTGGGCCCAGAGCTATTTGATCATGTTTATCATCACTGTAGCCTGGTTTTGAAGAGAACATCAGGATAGGCTATAGAAATAGCTTTATCTTCAGAAGTAGGCCAGGCTACTTGCAGCCTCTGCGATATTAAGAAACCGTTTAATCAATGTGTTAGAGGCATATTCAATGTATAAAGTGTATGCGTTTTGGCACTTTGCTTGAATGATTTAACTGAATTTGGTTGTAATAAAGCGATAGCCAGATGATCCATTATTCTCATTACATCGGCTTTCATACATTAGTATTTCCTGCCTACACCCCACCCACCCATAATGGATTTGAGATAAAATATTTTTTACAACCACATATAACCGCTAGGTGGCGCCCAGTGATAAGACTTTGAACGTGGGCTTCAGGTGGGTGGCGCTGTGTGTCAGTGGATGTAGTAATGCAAAAACTAGTGTGAGTGTAGCCTGTGTTTGGATTGCGAAACACTGCTTTTTGCATTAGGAACTGCAGTAAAAAAACTAAATAAATGCAGATTGTAGGCTATATAGGATTAATTGAAAACTCTGTCGGCGGAACTGCAGGCTACGCAATTATTCATGAATCATGAAGTGTAGGCTAGGCTATTAGATCGATTCAAATACCATAAGAATATGTCAGTGATATTGTGAAACTTTCCTTTGGCCATGACCAAATTGCCCAGTGGTGTAAAGTACTTAAGTAAAAATATAAGTAAAAATACTTGAAAGTACTACTTAAGTCGTTTTTTGGGGTATCTGTACTTTACTATTTATATTTTTAACTACTTTTATTTTTACTTACATTTTACATTTTAGTCATTTAGCAGACGCTCTTATCCAGAGCAACTTACAGTTAGTGCATACATTTTTCATACTTCACTACATTCCTTAAGAAAATAATGTACTTTTTACTCCATACATTTTCCTTGACACCCAAAAGTACTTTTTACATTTTTAATGCTTAGTAGGACAGGAAAATGGTCAAATTCACGCATTTATCAACAGAACATCCCTGGTCATCCCTACTGCCTCTGATCTGGCGGACTCACTAAACACACATAATTCGTTTGTAAATTAGGTATAAATGTTGGTGTGCCCCTGGCTATCCTTAAAAAGAAAAGAAAATGGTGCCGTCTGGTTTTCTTAATATAAGGAATTTGAAATGATTTATACTTTTACTTTTGATACTTAAGTATATTTTAAACTTGTACTTTTACTTGAGTAATTTTTTCTATGAATGTTTCTTTACTTTTACTCAAGTATGACAATTTGATACTTTTTCCACCACTGAAATTGCCCCTGATAGGCTGCTATGTTCAAAGAAAGTAGGCTATAGCCAGGCAGGCTATATGAGCATGTCTGCCG